GCCGATCGGCCGCGGCGAGCGCCGGCGCCTCGTTCCAGCTTGGCGCGGGCAGCCGGCTCTCCCGGGGCAGCCCATCACACACACCCGCACGCACGCCTGCCCGAAACACGCCGCTGGCCGGAGCACTGCGCGCGCGCTCGCGCACACGCTCACGCCCACACCGACCGCAGGCTCGGGGCGCCCCCCGCCCCCGCCCCTGGCCACAAGAACCACTGAGTGTAGAAGTGGACTGCCACGCCTCTCCTCTCATGCTGTGCTGTCCCCATTTCACAGAGCGGTAACTCGAGGCTCAGAAAAGTAGTCTGCCCAAGATTACATACCTTAGCAGAGACGTGAGCCCAGTCTCTCTGCTACCCTCTCAGAGAGGGCGGTCAGCAGTTAGGTGGTGCACGGGAGTGTCTCCCCACACTTCACAGGTGAACCGCGGCTGTCAAAGTGGCATTTCTTTTTGCTAAAACCTGATCTCTCGAGAAAAAAAAAAGATCCTTCGCAATTTCTGCCATAAAGAATGGTGAGCCAGGCTCTTGTGAGAGGTGGATTGCAACTTGTTGCCACTAAGAGGCAAAAAGAGAAGCTTGGAGTCAAAGTGTTATAGGACAGCAAATCTGTTTCAGGACAGGAGGAGAGGGACACCCCTGAAGCCCCAAAACCTGTCTGCTCTAAATGGGTTCTGCCATCTGCCGCATCAAGACAAAACATATATAACTTTAATGAAAAGGAACTTTAATACAGTAAATATACAATACGGAACAAAAGAATATAACTCCTAAATCAAACACCTGAAGTTACCCATCCCCTCGTGGGCAAAAGTCAACCCTAAAGGGATTGGCCCAAAGCAAGGCCTGAAAGCTGCCACAAGACTAAAGCACCTTCTGGCCGGGACCCATGGAAAAGGGTCAGAAATGGCCAGACAAATCTGGGAGGAAAAGAGCAAAATCAAAATGAATATAAACACTGCCATAGTCACCTCCCTGCAGGTATCTCACCCACATCTGCCTTCACCAGTCCAGGGTCAGGAAACAAGCACGGCTTCTTCCTCACATGCTCCCTGCTCCATGTGGCTTCCTCAGGTCTCCTTCTGGCTCTCCATCCAGCTTCCTTCTCTTCTGTTCTCTTTCTCTCCTCTCCTTTTTCTCTGCTCAGCTCCACCCTACCTCTGGGTGGGGCAGGGAACTTAGAACTTCCCTTTTCCTAGGGACCACCCTGTCACAAAAGGATGAGCATCCAGGCAAGGCTGTTCAGTTGTGGAGATGACTGAAGAACTGGGGTCACTGTACACCCTTGGTGGACCGTGTTACCCAGTTGCAATAACTGATTTAAATAGTAGCGGCTCATTTATGTTGTCGTGAGCCTTTAGATTCCTTCAGGAGTTCCGCCCCAAAGAACACTATATGTAAAAGAACTGCGAAAACATGAAACACAGGAGGGTCCTTGGACCACATAAAACTACCCCTCAAAAACCAGGTGCCTTACTGGGTGCTGAACACCTGAACACCAGCTCCACTGTCTCAGTCTCCTCAGTTCACCACTACAAAGGGAGAAAATACTGTTACTTTGGGTGTGACTCTGCTCTCCCAGCCCCTTTCCATACACCACCACTCCGCAAGATGGGAGAGGATGCTTAGAGTCACCTAAGGTAGCTTCTATCTCACTTCTAGAGAGCCAGCATAGCACTTTGCCTATAGTAGGTGCTCCATGAATATTTGATGAGTCAATAACAATTTACTGAATCTGGGACCCAGATGCATAATGGGGTTTCATTTCAGAAAGTCATCTCAGACTCACCTTTTTCTTTTTTTTAAAGATTTAGTCATTTGTGCATACAGAACGGGGGTACAGGCCAGAGGCTCAGGGGAGGCGAGAGGCTTCACCAGAGACAGAGTGGGGAGCAGAACAGGCAGATTGACAAAGCACACTGCTGAGGGAAGCAGTGGGCGGGTCAGGAGAGGTCTGCCGCGCCATGTGGTCACCTCTGGGGCAGGCAGGAATCGAACTCATGCTGAAGTGGATTTAGCTTCATAGTGCTGTGCTTTAACCCACTGCGCCACCAGGGAGGGCCCTCAGACTTGCCTTCTCATTACAGAACACACACACACACACACACACACATGCTGATATAAAATAAAATCAGGCCACTCCATGAGCCCCTCTCTCAGGAGTGTCTACTGATCAAGTCTGGGATTTCATCTCAGTCTTAAACAAAATATTGCAAAGGGCATTCCCTGGATACACACTCAAGGATCACTATGGGAAACTCCTTCTATACCATCCCTCCCTCTCCAGTCCTATAGGGGCTGCTTGGAGGCATCCTCTGGAATTAGCCTCTAGTTTTCTTGCACATACTTAATGAAAGTTATCCTCCCATTAGAGACATTTCCCTTCAATCCTCCCTATAGAAAGGCTCTGTTCCTGCTAATCACATTCATTTAAATATTTCTAAAAGGAAAGACAGAAATAAACATACCCCAGTACATTAAAATTAACAATCCTCCATGACCAAGTAGGATTATTCCCAAATTATGTATTTTAAAATATATTAAAATGGGAAGCTAATATTCTGATTTAAGATAGTAATTGAACATATACATCTAATTTTATTCCATCCCCAAATGCCACTAAAACTTCAATAAAGAAATTTAAAATAAAAAGATAAACCTGTTATGTGAAAGGGAGAAGGGTAGCCCGAACCCCCAAACTTGCCTGCTCTAAATGGGTTCTGCCATTGTTGCATCAAGACAAAACATATAAGACCTTTAATGAAAAGGAACTTTAATACAGTTAATGTGCAACACAGAAGAGACAAAAAATATAGTTTCTAAATCAAACACCCAAAGTTATCCATCCCCTTGTGGGTAAAAGTCCACCCAAATGGGGTTGACCCAAAGCAAGGCCTGAAAGCCCTCACAAGTCTAAAGCACCTTCCAACGGGGACCTATAGAAAAGGGTCAGAAATGGCCAGACAATTCTGGGAGGAAAAGAGCAAAATCAAAATCAAGATAAAAACTGCCATTATTAACCTCCTCTTGGGTCTCTCATGCACATCTGTTTCACCCAGCCCAGGATGAGGAAACAAGAGCTGCTTCTTCACATGTCTCTCTGACCCCTGTGCCTCCCTTAGGTCTCCTTTGGCTCTCTATCCTGTTTCCTTCTTTTCTTTTCTATTTTTAAAGCTTTATTTGTGCATACAGAACTGGGGTACAGGCCAGAGGCTCAGGGGCAGCGAGAGGCTTCGCCAGAGACAGAGTGGGGAGCAGAACAGGCAGATCGATGAAGTACACTGCTGAGGGGAGCAGCAGGCGGGTCAGGAGAGGTCTGCCACGCCATGTGGTCACCTCCGGGGCAGACGGGAATCGAACTCATGCAGAAGTGGCTCCAGCTTCTCAGTGCTGCGCTTTAACCCGCTGCACCACCAGGGAGGGCCCTTCTTCTTTTCTTTTACAAGGATAGAGAGAACAAGAAAAGCAACAGCAGGTACAAAATACGTAAAGCAATATGGCAGCAGCCACGTGGTTACTGAGGGAAAAAAATCCCAACTGGTAGTAGGGATAACTGGGAGGTAACTTGATTTACCTTGCAAGATTCTCAGAAGGCACAGAAACTGACAAATTAGAGACCTCTGGAACTGTGGGGGGAGTTGCTAAAACAGGGACAGAATGAGAAACAGATCCCTTGATCTATAATTCCAAGACACAATTCCTATCCTCACTCAGCAAGAGTGAAGGATTTTCCTCTGAAGACAGTAAGAGAGCAGGTAGCTAGACTGATGAAACCTTGAGCATAGGTACTCTC